GCCATCCAGGTGCCCTATTCTTGCTTGGCTTCTGTATATATCATTCCCAGGTGTAGAAAAAACAGAAATAATATTTGAAATTTGATAATTAGGACAATTACGATATATACCAGGAACAACATCATATGTGTCGTACCATCCTAAATGATAAACCGACTTTTCAGTACAATTAAAAAAATTTTCTATCCAGTTGAAAGTGTGACGATACAGACAGAGTGAGAGCGAAAGGGGGAAGAGAGTGAGGGAGGGAGATCTAGATGGCGTTGATCTGGAAGGCACCGGTGAAAAACAACTGGGAAGATAATGAAACACGAAAAAAGGTCTCGCTGCGAGAAAAAGTACCAAATAATGTATGGTGGCTAGAATGTGTCGTGAGATCTAGGCATCGATGAAGGTAAAATAAGCCTAATAATTAAATAAATTTATTTTTTCAAATAATTTGTTAGTAGCCAGGAATTAAACTTTAATTAACACTGCACCGAGATATGACAGTTTAGTAAATCCATTGTTTTTTAGCCGTTTGAAGCAATTCAAATGTTGACGGATTGGCACGCGATCTGAAGCTCAGCAATTGACCTTTAAAATTCCCGTAGTAAATCTTGTTTCCTTTAACGTAACGCTCATTGCCGTATGATAATAAAAGCAACCAGGGAACACTTAATTGCAATAAAAAACGGCACATGTTCTCTTTGCAGAATTAGAAATATTCTTCGAAGGAAAGCGCTTAGTTTTATGGACGAGTAACGCAGCGCAGGACCCAGTGTCAGGAGATATGCAGCGGAGCGTGGCAACGGCCGTGAGCGGCTCTAGGAAATAAAAACACGTGCGATCTGCTTTAAATTACTCATTTCCAAACGGACTGACGATTTACGGTTTGGCCGTGTATAAACGAGAACGGCTGACGGATTTATGATTGCCTCCAATCCAAGAAAGCCCTATGCATTTTTGTCTTGGAGTGACATTGCGTACTACGAAAAACTACTGAAGCGAAAATATATTTGCAATTCGTCGGAAATTAGATTACACAATCGTCCCATGTCCGCTAATATCTTCTATCAGTAACGCTGGATAAAATTACAATTCAAGGAATCCCATATTATTAAACTTATTAAGTTTTAAAACCGATCTGAATAGTCTTGGCACAAAATTTGTCAACTTTTACAATTAAATCATAAGCACTGGAGCATTAATTATTGGGATTGTTCAGTTGATTGGTCCTCAGAATCAATGTTACCCACAGTGTTACCAAAACAATGGATGGAGGGAAAACATGTAAATTTAAAAACATACTGTATGACAAGAATTACTTGATTTACTTACGTTCATCATCTGGCAGACCTTACAATTTAAGGTTTAAAGTATAGCGAAATCGCTAGTAAAGTTTAAAGTGGGCAAAGCCACAGTAACTGATCATTAATAGATTTAAAATTTACCTAGAAATTACAAAAAAACTATATTTTGGGAACTGAAAAATTTCTTCTTACTATAAATTCCTGAGGACTCCTCTATATATCAAAAACAATATATTTATATACTATGTTATGATGTATTTATACTGTATATTTACGGTGTAAGTTTTTTAATTAACCCAAAATAGAAGAATCCCTTTTTAATTTTCGCAACATTGCTACATTTGTGCCATATCCATGCCAAAGTTTTTATTTCTCTGAAAATATAATTTACTTATAACAAATTTAATCATTTGATACAATAAATTTGTACCATACTTTTTTTTAAAATGATTATACCTATTTTTTATGATTTATACATTTACATGACATGCATATATTTGGAAAACTTGGAACACTGCACGTGGTTCTCGACTTTCAGGAGGTTAAATTTTTAAACTGTTATCCTTGTAATGGTTACATTGCCGCTTTTCTAATTTTTCCGAGCGCAGTAGGAAATTAGGTTAACATGTTTTGTTTTTTTTAACAAAAAAAAGTTGATATTCGTTTTTCCCACCTCAAAAACCCTTCTCTACAACATTTTGGGAAGATCAAAAAAATGTTTATTTTTCACCCTCCAAATTGAAAACATTGAAACGAGTCCACCTATCCCTAGAAAGATTTAGTTGGTAAACAACAAGGAATGTGATTGATTAGTAAGTACCGAGTTGTAACAAATCTCGTGATAACTTTGAAACGGCTGCACCTAGACTTAGAAAGCTTTATAAATGCCATTCTGTCCTTACAAAATAACTGGAATTTACTGAAGCGACCTAACTACATGTTTCATGACTGCTGAGACTTCATTGTAGATTTTTCTGAAAAGAATGTGAGATCTAGAGGGCATGTCAATCTAGAAGGCACGGGTGAAAAACTTCTGGGAAAGTTGTTTGATTAGTAAGTACTGTACATTGTAAGTAAAGTAATTCCTGTCTTACAAGAGGGCTAGGAAGATTTACGCGGGTGGTTAAAAGGTGAATTTATTGTGGTTACAAAATTACTCGGATTTACTGAACCGACCAAACTACTTGTTTCGTGACTCCTCGGACTCAAGAAGAAATTTTCTGTTCTTCTCCTTAATTTGTTTTTATTCTAATTTCCTTTGATTCGCCGGAGCGTACAAATGGCATCCTACGCATAATTTTCCGAGAAAGCTGTCTCATCAAACAAATTAAAAACACACGTCCTCGTGCATCATCCTAATTAGCCGAATCAAATGTCAGATACGTTTTATACCCTTACTACAAAAAAATATTTTATTGACAATGTCTTTACACAGAAGGAGAGATTAATTTATTTATATTGCTCAAATTGACTGAGGGTCTGCCATTGATCCGTGGGACGAGCAGTATAACAACAAAACAAGGTAAAACAACCTTTTATCTCCTAATTTTGTCACATCTTTTTTGTTATATGTAAATAGAAAAATAAACTCAAAATTACTTAAAATTTCTTGGAAAAAAATCAAATGTAGCTCGTTTTACTTGCAAATCATCGTTATCATAGTGTCATATTACTTACGACTAATTATGATCATGTCGGTATGAAAATGGCCTATTTACAGAATAAATACGAGGCCTGGCTGGTAAGAACACCTTTGGGAAATATCACTAAGATTGAACAAATACTATTACAAAATTATCTTTTACAACGAAAATATTTAAGGCACAAAGAAGTCAAGTTCAATCATTTTACGGTAGGCGTCACAAGTTCATGAGAAAAGCTTAAAAAACCAAAAATATTTTCGAATACAAGACAACCTTAATTGATGGGGAAAATTTTGTTTTTTATGTATACATAGCTTATTTTCGTCAAATTAACCATTTTTAACTTCAAATCAACATTTTTTTAAACTTTAAATTACTCTTTTTTTATACTTCAAATTAACCTTTTTGTACTCAATTCTCTTTTTTTACTTCAAATTAACCATTTTTAACTTCAAATTAAACCTTTTTAATTTCAAATAAAAATTTTTTAAGTTCAAATAAACCGGTTTACACTTCAAACCTTTCTTAAATTCAAAATCCCTTTTTTACTTCAAATTAACCTTCAAAATAACCCTGTTTATCTTCAAAATGAACCTTTTTTACTTTAACTTAGCCTTTTTTTATTTCAATTAACCATTTTTAACGTCAAATTAACCTTTTTAACTTCAAATGACACATTTTTAGCTTCCAATTAACACTTTTTAACGTCAAATTAACTTTTTACATTAACCTTTTTTAACTACAAATTAACCTTTTTTAACTTCCAATTAACCCTTTTTGACTTTACATTAACGTTTGTTAATTAACCCTTTTAGGTCGGTGGAGGAATATCAAGTACTCCACCGACCAAACGGAATGAGTGTACTGTATGGATGTATTTATGTGTATGAATGTATTTATTTGTATGAATTTGTTGAAAGGGTAAATAGAATATAGACATAGTTGGGGGCTGAAATGACCGAGATGTCGGAAGCTCCAGTCAAAAAAAAAATTAACCCTTTTAACTTCAAATTAACCCATTTCTAACTGTACATAAACCCTTTTTCAACTTCAAATTAACACGATTTAATTTCAAATTAACCCCTTTTCCATCATATTAACCATTTTTAACTTCAAAATAACCTTTTCATTTAAAATTATCCCTTTTTTCAACATGTTAACCATTTTTAACTTCAAAGTAACCTTTTCATTTCAAATTAACCCGTTTTAATTTCACATTACCTTTTCTCATCAAAATAACTCTTTTTAACTTCAAATTAACCCTTCAAACGCTAGTTAGAATAACGCTTTTTTCATTTTTTGCCGACGTTTCGACCTTTATTCTTGTGCTGTTGTGTATATCACAACTATTTAAAACAAAACTAATATAACATCACCAGAATAGCACCACACTGTATGCCCTGAAGACGACCCGAATAATTGTCGAAGCGTGTTTTTCTAACCTACCTCATTCTTGACCGCTCCTCACGACTCCAACAAATTATCAAACAACCGGTCAGAAAAAAAAAAAAAAATTCTATTAATTCGAGTCTTTTTTTAAATATGAAATAATTATTTAATAGTCCAATTATTGTATACTTAAAAAATATCTCGATTTAATTAGAAGAATTATTTATATAAGAGCACGATCATTTTATATGTAAACAAAAATCGCAAATATAGAAGAATTTTGCTTGACTTGCTTATATTTCATACCCTCTCTTAAATTTTTTAAATGCTTTAAAGAAAAGGATAATTCGAAAATAAGGAAATGTTAATTTGAAGTTAAAAAAATGTACTGGAATTTTACTTTACATGTTTATATTTCATACCAACCAACCAAACCTCCAAAATTTTTGTTAATGCTTTAAAAAAATGGTTAATTTGAAGTTAAAATTGGTTAATTTGGCGGGAAAAATTGTATAAAATCTTATTAAATATTCTTGAGTATTTGATATATCACTGGTTTTGGTTCTGGAACTGCGAAACAGGATCTTTATGATGGTGCTTTGATGAAAATAATATATGGTTGTTTCTATGTAAAATAAAAATATATCTAAAGCTAAAAGAAAATATGTGTATTTACTCTGCTCTGGTGCTAAGTTTTCTTTTACACCAAGGGATGAAGTTTGCGTTTTTCAGCCTGAACTTCTTCAGGCTTACCTCATTCTTCTTTTTCCGGTTGAGTTTTTCCGACATGAAGAGGATAAGAGAATGAAGTGCCATGAGAGAAAAAAGAAGCAAATCTGCTATTCCTCCGATTTTTCAATGGGTCTATCTTCCGCACGCATTGTCCACCTGACTGGCAACCGAGACCGTTCTTGTCGACGGAAAAGCTCCCTTTCTATGGTACAGTGAACTTGGTCAAAAGCTCTGTAAACGAGTGGGGGAGGCGCTAGTTTGCACTATCTTTGTTGTGCTTTACCCCACTCCGTGTGGACGTTTTACTAACCCCCTCTTGACAACGATAAAACATTGGTTAAAGTTGGACAAGAACAAACGCACGCCGAAAGAACTTAACCAGTTCTTAAGTCCGACAGCCTACTAAATCATGTAAATAATTCCTGTTATACATTCAAAGACAAAGAAAAACTGACATTCGTATTTTCTTGTTTATTTCAAACTATGTGTATTTTTATCTGTTTAAAATATGATGGTTTGAAAGAAAATTCACCAAAATATCGAAAAAACATTTAGTGATAGATAAAAAAAACTAATAATTTATTACATGGTTTTGCTCTTAATAGCGCGTGTTACTTCCTCTCGTTTCAGGGGAGGGCCTTCAGTCCCCAAGGGTCATCGAGTATTAAGCTGTTCAACTCTTGTTGAAGGCGGCAGACGATATCAAACCCGTTGTTTTATAGGATACCTCTCAGGAAAACGTAAAATTATATTTAATGAGTTAAATTTACAATTGGCATGGATCATGTGTCGTAAGGCCATATTCTCTTCAGTCGTCTGGTGGGATTATATGGGTGGTTTATATTGTATAAGGATTGAGCATCTCGATTGGGGTGAGGGACCACCCAGACCATTTCATTGCGGTAATCCCTACATCCTCCGAGAAATGGGTGATAACTGGAGCTATATGCGGTCGAGCATTATCATGCATTGACACGATGTTGTCCCTAATAAATGGAACGAATGAGACCAAAGCTAACGCAGAACTTGCTCAATGTACCTTAGTGCAGTCAAAGATCATTTCTGCATGACAATCAGTTCGGCACGGGCATGGACGTTGATTTGACCCTATACCACAATGGACTGTCTTTGAAAAGGCTGTGACTCGTGCATGGCGCATGAAGCAAAGCGTTTCCACGACTACACCACACACGATCCCGGTAATCTGATTGGCACAAACCGACCCGACACTCATCTATGAAGAAAAACGCCTCCCCCTCGAGTGTCCAAAGGAGATGCTTCGAGATAAGAATCGCCTTTCTTATCGATGCCTCTCCAATAGTAGAGAACCTGATGTGGGACGTCTAGAGATAATACTATTCTCATGATGTCTTCTGATGATTTAGAACTCGCCCTTACGCTCGACAGTCACCTCTAAAGAGAACAGCTGCCCATTGTTCAAGTGTCACAGTTGCAAATAGTCGCCTTTCTCTTTCCAGGTGAGAGAACTTGATGCGATACGTCTAGAGATTAGGCTGTTGTTATGAAGCCTTTTGAGGACTCTTTTAGAGCTCACTCTTACATTACGGACCGTTTAGAGTTGAATGACTGTTCCGTAGTGCAGTAAGAGCAATAAAACGATAATCCACGGCCGTCGTACATCGCGGTCGACCACTACCTTCTGTTCAATCGAGACTTGCGGTGACCCTGTACCGTATGGTTAGAGACCATCGTGGATAGTAGAGCAGGGGGCACACTCAGGACTTGGGCTATGTAATGGTCGCTACGTCCATCATTGGCCAAAGAATCTGCCCAGCCGAGATCTTTTCGACTTCAAACTCAAAACCTTGTTTAAAAAAAATTTTTTAACCCAAATTTATTGTTTTATCATAGAATACAATTTAAAAAACCAATTGACTCACTCGACAATTTGGCTCTGTTAAGGATGCAAATGAAATGAAATTGAACTGATTTTCTTTATTTTAATGTTAAGAGTGTAAAAGGATTAGTTACACTATAAAGGTAAACAAGTTATTTATGTTGTGTTTATGCTTTAAGTCAACTGTTAATCTTTATATTAGTTATATAGTTATTATCGAATTTAAATAAATAAATAAAAGTGTCCGGTTTTTGTCTTTGAGTGTATATAATTTCCTTCAAATCCTGCCTGCTAAGAGAGAGAAGTTTTTCGCATTCCTTTTTTGAAGACCTTATAAATAGTAAGTTCGTTTCTGAGGTGTTAAGTACTTTGGTTAAGTAACTTAGAGTGATTTGTAATATCTGTTAGTTTCATGTTTTTACAGTCGCGTATAGGGAGTCTTTTGTCAGTGTATAGCCCCAGGTAGCTAGCACACAATATCCAACTGGATTTTCAGAGGATAAAGTTGATGTGGATTGATTTAGTTTATTTTTTCTTTTTTGCTCGACCAATACTGAAGGTTTAAATGCATTTGGATGTTTAGACTAGCCAGGTAAGTTTTAGATGAAAGGGTGGCTGTCATCTACAAAATATTTTTAGGAAGAACACGAATGTTGGCTGTATATACAGATTAAATTATATGGGAGCCGTCCTCTTTACGACCTGTGCACTGCGACCAGTATTGGTCTATTGTGCACCTCAATTTTTTAGCTAGAGCTCATCGTTAAAACTTAAGGCTTTTTACCATAACTCAACAAACTGTGGGGCTACACTTGCCCGCAAGAGGAAGTGCTTTGAGATGTACAATGCGACTGTAGAAGAGATTCAACCACTGAAAGCAGGCCTACTAATCAAGTTCTTTGATGAAATAATACTCACCGGTGTGCCATAGGCACAGAACGAGGGATAGAATAGTTCTTAAAGGGCGCAGTATATTTCACCCCGACCAATTCTACATCTACATCTACCATAACCCAAAGCTTTTTCAAGGGCTCCCGTATTTATTCCTTCAGGCCCTGGCTATTCCTCTCCCAGGATTAGGAATCTATGTAGGCCTTCGCACCAACAGAGGACGTGTTCCGCAAATTCTTCTTGGCAATATCTACACAGGCTAGTTTCTGCCACTTCGAGTCTATACATATGCCTCCGGAATTTGCTGTGTCCAGTTAACAGTCCAACTATTATTCTAATCCTAGTTATGCCGCTAGTTTCTGCGATGGTCCTTTGATAAACTTTTTCGCGTATCCTGTCCCGGGCTACATTCCCATTTGATCGGAGACATTTTATTAAACCATTCTATAATCCGCGTTTTTGGCAATTTGGTAAGCCACAAAAGGGTACAGCATCAATAGGTGTCCTCAATGAACTTTTCTTGGCCAATTTATCAGCCTCTTTGCCCCTCTGCCCTGTATCCAGACAAGGGTAATATTATTTTCCCCAATGTCTGACAGGGCTCTAATGCAGTCTTCTCTAAATGATTGTGGACTTTACCGCCGATGCAGCTGTATCGCTGTCCAAGTAGACTATTTTTCTATTGACAATCTCCAGCCTTATCTTCCTGACACCGTGTTAAATAGCCAGTTTCCGCTTGAAAGACGTTGGCATATTGTCCAAGGCTTATTATTCTAGTCCTTGGTTTATTTCCGTAAATGCCAGCTCCTGACCCATATTCGGTTTTGGAGCCATCTACAATAGTTGGCATTAACTGGGATCCGACTCTCCCAGACTGCTCTGCAAGGTATTTTTATTAAAAAGTTTTTGTCAAAACAGAATTTTGGAGTCATGGCATCAGCACGCATCCCCTAAGTTCTGTTTAGCTGAAGCTCCCTTCGGAGTGTTAGTTTCTCCTTGTTATGCGAATAGGATCCCTTAGAGCCTGTCCCTGCATTAGCCTGGCTGTTTATATAAGACCCTTGGATGTTGCCCTGGGAGATACTCGCTTTAACGGGAATATACGTAGAAATGGCAGTCTCCTTTGAAAGAGATTTATAAATCTTTTGCCTTGGCTCATACCTAGTTTTTTAGTGTTTATTTCTAAAGCTATTTTTCGAATTTCAACTTAATCACACTCCCATACACCCTAACCGTGGTTCTGGTCCCGGTCAGTTGATTCGATCCTGTTCATTTCCTTTCATGTCCCAGAACCGGACTAATGCTTTACATTCACAAAGGATGTGGGTTGCTGTCTCTGGTTCCTCCTGTCAGAGTCGGTCTGTTTATGTCTCTGCTTTTCCCATCTTTTTTAGGTGGTAGTTGAGAGGGCAGTTGCCGGTTATATAGTTTTCCTCCTTTGCCTTCCTTTTGAGAGATGAATCTCTTAGCTTTCCTGCTTGACATTTTTTTCCTCTGCTTGAGCGTTTCTTTCTCAAACGATGTGCCAGTTCCAACTGAACTGTGACTTAAACACACTCCAATGCACCTAGTTGATATTCTGATCCCATGATTAAGGGGCTCTTTTTGTTCCTTCAAAAAGGGCTTTTTCATGTCTCAAAACCCCCTTGAAAGTGATATTGTTCTGTTTTTCTAGACATTAGTTAATTTAGCGCCTTTATAGCTGCTTATCTGTCCTTAAGTATGTAAAGCCTTCATATTCGTCTTTATCAACTCTTGTGCACAGAGTTGAACCCCAACTTGGAAAATTGTTGGGATTAGCCAAAGGGGTTTTTCTTGGATATAGTTCAGCCCTTTTACCTACACAAACTCACTGTTCTATCTTCGAGGTATCTGTGTACCAAATTAGGGCTCCTTCCTGAAACTTCGGACGAATTTTCCTCCGAATGCTTCTCTAATCGATGACCACTTGGATTTTTTTTAGAGAGAGAGTGATCAGCGAGGTTAACCAGGTTGTCAGTAAACGCAATTTCAATCTTTATTTCATACTCCAATTCATCCACAAGGTCGATATAAATGGCTAAAAAAAAGACAGTGTACACCCTTGATTCACATTAGATACAGCAGACTTTTCCATCTATGTAGTTAAGATTCGTCGATGAGGAGCTTTCTTACAAATACTTGGGAGCAAGGCTTGATAAATCTGTGGACAAATATTGTTTTGCCCTGAAAATGACCTTAAAATAAGGCGAAAGCTTGTCAGTAACAAGTGAATTTTCTTTTTCAAGACTATACCGTGATCTAGAGTATTCACGAGTACAAAAGTGGTTGATACATCTAACGCTTAAAACTTTTACATATACAAAATTGAAGCAAAATTATATTGGTTTTTCGCCTGGTTACATCTCATTACTTCAGCTGGATCACCTATTAAATATATTAAGTGTTGAATCGGCTAATATTACCTCTCATGCCTTCTGATATCGAAAGAATTGTTATGACCCGTTTTTTCTACTTGACTCGACAGCCATTTACAAAATCTATCAATTGGTCAGCCTCTGAAGTACTGTGACAAAAGAAACATTTTTGAAAGAGCCACAAATTTATATTATCTTGTGTGCATTATTAATACTCATTTCGTAAAAATACTGGTAATTTTATGAGAATATTGGTTGAAGGAAGATTTCTTATTTATATCCTGCCAAATTTTACTATATAAATACGTTTCTTTCCAAAAGGTAGATTGGGGATGAGGCCAGCGTTTCAGTTCCAATCTACCTTTTGGAAAGAAACTATGATGACTGATCAATCACAAAAGAAAATATAAATACGGATTTAATTTGCCGTGGAGACATCATCAGTGCGTTGTTTCACTAGGCACAAGAAACTATTAATGTATGAACCTCTCTATTTAAAATAGTTAACCCGCAAGAAACATTTTCATGCCCGTAATAAAAATAATTTCACCTATTTCATTATTGAAAAACCTATAAAAAAAATTAACAAAGGAAAAAAACAAATTTTGAAACAATTGGTTCATTATAGATGGCACGATGCTGAAAATACATCCAACCAAGATAATCGAAAAACTTTCATTTCTTACATGCTTATGACTTTTACAAGAATATACAAAAACAATAATGTTCAATAACACACCATGTGACACAAATAATTATACAACCTAAAGAGTAAGAAGAACGAGGCGATAAAATTCTATTATCTGTTAATAAAAATTATATTTTGAAATAAAAAATTATGATGTATCCATAGCAGTGGTGGATGTTTCTTCAGTGTACTTTCCTTTGTCTTTGCCTTTGGCAAGAGCTCTACCTCTGGATCTTCTGTCGAGGATCTCCTTCCTGTCTTTATCGACCTTAAGTTTGACTATGACAGTCTGAAAAAATAAAGAACGCCATTAAGAAAAAATAAATCAAATTTAGTCCGTTGATATGGACTAATATTTTAATTATTTTACTTACCTTAGAGGGGTGAATTCCCACATAAACACTAGCCCCGTTGACCTTTTCCCTCTGGATTCTTTCAATGTAAATTATGAATTTCTTTCTGTACACTTGAATGACTTTACCAACTTGCTGTCCTTTGTAATGACCTCGAACAACCTGAAAAAAATTAATAGAAACCTTATGTGTGAATCATATAGCTTACTCCCATTTTCATTTGAATTATGTAATGGGTAATATGTATATTAACATTCACTAGATAGACCAGGAATTTATTATTTTAAAATAATTATTTGGTAAAGAGCGCGCATACCCTGTTTTCAAGTAAACAACAAAAATAATAAAAGATAAATTTTAAAATATTTTTTTTAATTAATAAAAATAATTAGAAATTTTAATGCATCTTAACCACTATGAAGCACTTTAATAATGTAAAAAATCTGAAAGAATAAAGGTTTTGTTAGTAATAACTGTGTAAAAAACCAACAATCAAATTCAACTGTAAAATTTGAAAAAATGATCTCTCCTATTCTAAAGTCAAAGTTACAAACCTGTACTTCATCATCTTTCCTCACAGGCATTCGGCGAACGTTGTACTTTTGTCTAAGTTCCTTGGACAAAGGGGCGGACATGAGACGCCGCCTGATATGGGAAGGAGCGGTGAAATGCCTCTTCCTATTTTTCCTCCTAGAGGATGTCACCATTTTGTTAAGTTTCATTTTTGTGCCTCTAAAAAAAAGAATAAATATTTCACGATATCTGAATAACAATAAATATTTCATTAAATTAGAGGGGTTTAGTTTAAGTGACAACGGAGTGTTATAATAAATCACTATGTTATGTTTGCAAGAATCTATGAGAAATAGTATCACTGCTAAATCAGCAGGTAGAGAATAAAATTAGAAAAAACCTCTAAATGAACTATCACATAAACTAACAAGACTGGCTTCCAAAGGAAATCAAACTAATTTGATTGGAGTTAATCTTATTACTATCAAAAATGCATTCTCAAAATAAACAAAGCATTCAACGTCACCACTATTCCAAACTTAACTGAATAAAGCAGCCACTGAAAATAATTAAACGCTTAGCTATAGATTAATAAAAATGTTGTAACCCCCGCTATTAAAATTGTAATAAGTTGCAATTAATTTATTGGTGGAAATTGTCAGAATGGCTGAAAAGCTTCACTCTTTGTCCTATTGTAGGCTAATGGATCAGTGAGGACCTCAAAGCGGTTAGGGAAAGGGTGAGGAGTATTGTCGGGAGTTGTATAATCCTGAGATCTCAGTGTCTTTTATTATGCTCAGGTATGGATCCTCACAGCCTCACTACTTACACCGGTTGTTTGAAAGTAATGTTTCTGGTGAAGTTCCTTTGAAAACACCCCACATTCCTGTGCATTTATTAAGTCTGCAACTCGATCCAACAGCCACCAGGTTCAGGACAAATATCCCCCCCTCGTTGATGGGACCGGCAATTAGGAGCTGAGGCACTGATCATGCCTCTATATTAATTATTTCTGAAAGATTCTCTGGGCATGAGGTATTTAATTTAAAGCAATAATTTATTCCTCTGGTCACACTTCTTATTTCACAGGATCTCCCGCCCCTTCCTGTCAAATCCTGTTCCCTTTGGCAATCCCTGTATGTCAATCATAGATTACCGGCAATGGCAAGCAACTATGCTGGTTACTACTATAAGACTACTAAAGGTTTAGTGCAAACCGCACGATATCAATAGTCTAGGTCACAGAGAAAACCAAATACTGAATGTGAAATGAGAATGTCAGGCCAACAGTGGAAACACGGTGCATGTTGTGTAACTTTAAGCCTAAGTATCATTGAAGGTATTATGATTGCAGACATGACATTTTGGGCAACTTCAACAAGATAACGATCCAAAGCACACTGCCAATAAAATTAAAGAATGGCTACTTATGTTTGGAAACAAATCAAAACTCCAAAATTACCAGATATTAATCCCACACTGCATTTATGGCACTTGCTGAACTTAAAGATATGAACAATAAAAAATCTTCAGAACATCACAGTACTGTTGTATTATAAGAATGGGATAAAAATGGACCTGTAATAACCCACTACCTTGTATCCTCGATGCTACCAAGACCAGGCCGTAATTCATACAAACAGTGAGGTAACAAAATATTAAAATGAAATAAAATTTCGTTTAAAACAAAGATTCTACCGTGCCAATACTTTTTTGACCCCTTGAAATTTATACTCTTATTTATTATTTTTATATTATTTTTAATTCGCTCAATTTATTGCCACTAAAAATTAATGATTGGATACTAGTTTTAAAATAAATTTAGTACATAATTAACATTTATACTTTTCAGATTTAAGAAAAAGTGGAAATTACCAATTTTTGAACCACTAAAGATTTTTACAAATATACAAATTTAATAGGGATATAAACACACGTTTTTGATACCCTTGACCCTTTGGGCAAAAGTGGTTAAATCAAATTTTGGCAATGTGCAAAATGAGATGCATATTCCAGAAAGTATTTAGGAACGATAGACTGTATAACTGATAGCAGTCCAGAAGAAAACTATTTCTTTTTAAACGCAACACTTACCCTCACTGTATGATAAAAATGATCCATAATGGAATAAAATGATAGTAAATAAAATTAACATGACAAAAAGCTTATTTTTCTTTTGGGACAAAATGCTGTATTATAATCACTTATTATCACAGTAAATGCAAACATAATTTATAGTTTTCGTTCATTTTAGCCCAACAGACCGATACAGCAATAGGCAGACCAAATTAATCGGAATCACCTAATCTGTGGGCTCACTCCACAAATCGCCTAAGCAAAAAATGATCCATAATGGAATAAAATTAAAGGAACTAGAATCTAAATGTGGCTCCTGACATGCGGGATTCACTGAATCCCGACTAGTGGGGACGGATGTTCGGTTATTCACCGAGTAACAATATTCGGTGCATGCCTTGCTCGGCTAATAGTTAGTTTCCTTGTCCGCTTCAAAGTGTACAATATTTGTGAATAAGCTAAACGCAAAGCATCCACACGTTTGGAAACCAACTGTACTGTATGTAAATCCTAACCATCCCTAAATGTAATCAACAAACAACAGTAGGTACATACTTTTATTTACTGCTTGTATTTTTCAATAATAAAAGATTCCTAAATAGTACAGATGAATGAAAGAACAATATAGCATTGTTCCTATAGGTTAGGAATGGATTGGCCCAACATATTTATCTTTGAGACCCTCGATCTGTACTAAGCTGAACTAATAATTTGGAATGCTTCACTTCCAAATCACAAAAATCTGAACGAGATTTTTGATGGGTGGAAACGGATGGAAAGTAATAGCACTAGTTCTCTATGACTGAGTTTGTAGACACTACACCTAACAGTCATCGAGGCTGCAGCAATGAGTTTTATTTTTGTTCATCACGACTGGTAGTAGAAAGTTGAGGACTCACACGGCATTTGGCAAATACATATTTCCTGTTTCCGCAGAAACCCCAAATGTGTGTATATGTAGACACTATTTGGCGTATTATGATGAGACGAGCAACTTGAGACTTGGTAAATGTTCGGCGGCAATCGGCGAGGTTTTTCTTTTGGAACAAAATGCCGCATTATAATTACAAATTATGATAGTAAATACAACCATTATTAATAGCCTCCAACCATTTTGGCCCGACAGAACAAATAAACGGAATTGAATAACCTGCGCGTTCATCACCTTGCACACCTCAAAAAGAAATCTTCAGTAAAAATAACCGAATAAATATGTATTAGACTGATGTAATAACCTTAATGTAACATACAGAATAACTGAAAATTGCTTGAAATTCATTAAATGTGTGTAAAAATACTCCTGTCCTAAAAGGTTGTTCCACTTTGGTGAATCAATAGCAAACAAAACATGTTGTTTTTTAAAATAATAATTAAAGCTATGTTTCATACTAAATATTAACTATTAACTTGTATGATATATATAATGTATGTCAACCAAATTTGTTGTTGTCAATGTTTTCAAATCCACGTTCCTGACAGTTTTAATTAATACACGTGAACTGAACCAATTTGCCTTTTAACTGTATTTAAAGTTAAATAAATCAGAGGAGGAATAGTTTTTAATTTATTCTTCACACCCATTATGGAGTTGTTTTATCTTTACTATTTGGATAAGGTACACAAGATGGTCGGGTGGGCGAATTTGGTGACAAGGAAAGCGTGGTCTTTTTTATTCGACTTTCCACATCATTCCTTTTAAATTACAAGATATTTTACACTTTAACCAAAATATGTTCAATTCGCATAGACATATGGGGGAAATAGAAAAAAAATACAATTTACAAAAGATCGAGGTTAAACTAGGGCCGAATGGTTTTTTTAAGTAAAACCCCATCGAAACGCCTAAATAAATATTTTCCCCGTTGGATGGCGAGAAACAAGGCTGAAATGTAAAAAAGGAAATTGTCAAAAATTGTTACCTTTTCGGATGATCACGGATTGAAAAAACCAACACGCGGAATGCGAGGACGACGAAACACGAAATGAACGACGTACCTTCGCCGGTCGAAACGCATGGACATGCAGTGTTGCCCCAATACCGCCTAGGCCAGGTTTTCTGCGAATCCTTTTTTTTTTAATTTATTTCAATTAATAACCTTCTTTCTTAAATATAATCAAATAAATCTTTAAAAAATTATTAACCTACTATAATTTTAAACAATCATTTGATATAAATAAAAATTTAAACTATGCGATTTTAAGGGGAGGGCGCAGTAAGATGAACAAAATCAAATTGGCTCTGAGTTTGAAAATGAATTTCCTAACAAAATAAAATAAGGCTTCGAAAACAATTCTACATTAAAAACAATAAGATTTGAGAAATTTTGAAATAAAAGTTGTACGCAAGTGAGTTAAGGTTTTGAGCAATTAAATAAGCAAGATTGAAGCTTCTTTGAATTATTATTTGTACGTAAAATTAATACGATATATGCACATATAGCTTACAAATTATATAACTTAATATAAATGGGATAATTATATATTTTATGAACAATTCTATTTAATTAAAATATATATTATTTAATTATTTTATTCATTATTTAATCCCTGATTCCATTCAACTCCTGCTGATACACTGACAACTCCAAAACCGACAGTGCATCGCAGCTGTAATCTTCAGGATGAATCCAAATACTGAACTGACAGTACACCTAGGAAAATATTCTACAGTTTTCCAGTCTGAAATCATAGCTATTGAACACACATCAATTAAGGTTTTTATTAGTAGCAAAAAAGGAGGGAAAATTCAAAAGGTGGGGTTGAGATGGGAAGTTGGGGTCTGAGTGGATTGAGGTCACGATAGCTCAAGTGGTAGAGCAGCGGCGTATCTAGCCGAAGATTGTGGGTTCGAATCCCGCTCGTGCCATTGACTTTTTTTATCTCAACTAAAAACCTTAATTAATTGTAATATATTAATTGGTCAAGCGGACCACGAAATTAGCGAATTTAATGAATTAAAATGAAGTATACTTCACTAAAACTCTCCGTGGCCATTTCATTTGTCGCCGAGAATCCAATCCGATTACACGGCATTTGAAAAATGGCAGAAAGGAGGGAAAATTCAAAAGGTAGGGTTGAGATGGGAAGTTAAGGTCTGACTGGATCGAGGTCACGATAGCTCAAGTGGTAGAGCAGCGGCGTATCTAGCCGAAGATCGTGGGTTCGAATCCCGCTCGTGCCATTGACTTTTTTATCTCAATTAAAAACTTAATTAATTGTTGTCACTAATTTTATAAGGAATTTCACTCCATAGTGTTGCCATGCTGCACTCAGTTGTTGCAGGTCAACTGGCTGCGGATGGTGATCGAAAAGCCTTCTCTGTAAAGCATTCCATATGTGCTTTACACGCGCGATGGGGGGAAGGCGCAGATGGGAAATTTTTTCTAAGCATTGATGAACAACTCAGCTCTGCCTCTAGGAGAGGTTGTTTTCACCCAGAAATCGAAAATCCCTGCCAATAAGATCCCTGGTTTGAGGGATGTATTACTCGATAATTTCTTTGACATAACAATCTGCGGTGAGGGTGCCTTCAAATGATATGGAGTCCAGTTCGTCCTGCAGTGCAAGCAAATCCCAGCCCGGACCATTACACCGCCTCCTCCAAACTGCACTGAAGGGGCACAAACTGGGGCATTCTATGCATCCCCTGTTCTTGGTAGACTCTTCAGTGCCTGCTATCATTATACAGACAGAAACGCGACTCTTCAGCAAACATAACATTCCAATCCGTGTTCTTTTCTAGCCACTCGCTGAACCATATTCTTCTGAGTTGCTGGTGGTGGGCTGTTGCTGCAGGTTATCTCAATGGGGCATCTGATGTGAGGCCAACCCCAAACGATTCCTAATGTTGATAAAGGCCTTGCCAAAACATTTTGTACTTCACTTGGGATATGGCAGGCACTATGGAAAGGGTTATGTCTTGCATCAGTGACAATATTTCCCTCCTCCCTTAGTATTGAAATGCACTGAGATCCACTAACCAGGGTTCCTATTGGCACCTTCAGTCTCTCAGAATCGAGCTAAAGCCCACAAGAGCATGCTCTGACAAACACCAACTGCCTCTGCAATATCCACTTTCCGGTGACCTTGATAACTCATTTTCACAATAATATTGTGAACTTCGGGTTCAAGATGGTGTCTTTCCATTCTTAAAGAGAATACAAGTAGGTTAAAATGGAGAAAATATAAGAAAAGGTGTATTTTTACAAAATGAGTAACCTTCATGTTTACTATAAGTAAACCCATTAATAAATGAGGATTAACATTTCTTAGTTTTTGATTTGTATTTTTTATTTTGTTTTATCCTACTAACAAGAATATATTGGTTATTTTAATTAAAATTAATAGAATAAGAATAAACTACAAATATCCGTATTCATTTTTGAACAGTTTAGATGTTTGCCATAAATTCTTATTTACTTATTTAAAATAAAAAGTAAGCCCTGCCCATCATACTTATTCATTATATTCTATTGTAATTGTTCTCATAGTTTATAAATATTATAAAAAGATTGTGTCATAGATCCAAATCTATGAATGATTCATTTAGAGTTGCTGGGGTGCATCTGTGGAATTCCCTTCCGCAACATATTAGGTCAGCCCACTCCCTTCGAGCTTTTAGGGATGAAACTTTCAAATTTTTTGCAAACAATCCTTGATTTGATCAAACAGCAACATGATCTTGTTGCTATTCCTTCTTTCTTCTCTCTTATATACTTTTCCTTTATACCTACTCCTCTTGGGGCCAAGCCCTATTGCAAATTTAAAAAAAATATATTTATCAATATATTTCTATTATTAGAGAAATATATAATTCTATTTATATGAATAAAAAACACACTACAATACACTTCATTGCCTTTTCTCCCTTGTTTTCATATAGCCTAATAAAAGTCTCTATCTCTTCAAGATTTCTATTTCCCCAAAATTTCTGTGCTTCAAATACGATAAAAGAAAACCTGGTTCAAAGAGTGGATACCACTGCCCCAAAAATATTCTTGTAATTGACTAAGAACTTCAGAATATATGTCTGTATGGAGTGCTCCAAAGTAAGTAGCATTTATCATGAAGAGTGTATGCAGTGTGCAACGACTTAGACAATTATGACAGGTTATAAAGAAGATAATAAATGGTAATCTGGTTTAGTTAAGAGGGTTTCTTAAACTCCAGGGTAATTACTCTATCTGAATTACAAGCCATGGTTGGAAAAGGACTCGAATATTGAAATGTGCTCACTCTGAAATTTAAAAGTAAGAGAGGAGTGTTATCATTTCAGAGGTGTATGTCCACAACTCGGAGACATAATAGCCTCTTATTTCAGCAAGAAAAACCTGCTGAGGGAAGATATTATCCCATTTCTAACTGGGCAGACTGATATTGGTCCCTCAATTAAGTACACCCATACCACAGATTATAAAATATGTAAGCATCCTTGCATCAAATTCGTTTTAGACAATCCCTGCTTTACTGTTTATGTACAATCGGTTTTAAAAAAAATTCAGTCAATCTGGGAATATTCTCATTTTCTCTAAATAGGAAAGACCCATCATCCTAGAAGATTTGGTACCACCTATCTTTGGTATAAAAAATATGAATAAATCTAAATCCATCAAAATTTCAGCTCAACCATTTTTAATTAAAACTATATATATTTTATGAGCGTAAAGTGACATTTTTGGAAGGTAGTGGAACATCTTAAAAGGCAATAAGAAAAAAAAAAGAAAAAAAACGGAAATGCAAACAAAACCAAAAGAATAATAAGAAAATATATTTCAGTTTGCCCTTATGATGGTTGAACCAACAACACAGTGATTTCCAGTTGACCTTAGAAAGGACAAACACCTTTATTCCTTCTTTTTCTTTTTATTCAACTGTGTATGCCTACAGGATGATTTCGACAGAATCGATAAAGTTTCAATATATATTTTTTTAATTGGTAAAAAATTTATTTTCCAGGCAAAAATCAACTCATGACAGCACGTCTGAGTATTCAAAGAGGTATAGAAATTTATTTTCCAGCTCAGGCTGTGCATTCTTCCGTCTTCCGTGAATTGAAGTTTAGAATCGATCCACGTAGCTCTTTAAACTTCAACTTTGTATCGAGATATCTATCGATAAACCGGTTTTGCCTCGTTACATAATAACAATTAATTGATTCAAGGAGAGAAATTGGCAGGGACCCCCGTTTTGCCTTTCTGTCCGTCCCTCCTCCTCAATCCTCATCCGCCTAGGCTTTCAGTTTTTTTCCAACTGCGTCTTCTGTCTGTTCTCTCACCTCAGACCAACAGCTATGTATTCTTTGTTTAAGGTGCGTTTTATTTTATTTTAATTTTTGCTTTTTTTTTTCTTTTTTTTATTAGCCTTGAAAAAAATTATATAAAATATTTTTTGCAACGTCTTTTGGCAAAAATTGTACAGCAGTTTTTTCTTGCCTTCTGGAACGATTTTCGCCAAATTTTAAATTCTTCTCGATTTATTTTTAAAATAATTCAGCATTCACTTTAAAAAAATTACATTGTTAACCCAATCGCCATTTTTTTCTCGTGGTATCAAAAATTTAATTTAAAACTAAACACCAGCATATTTGATTAAAATTTAAAGAAGCAAAAAACATCACAAAAACATTTTTTTTTAATTTTCACTGTTCAGACAAATTCGTGGTATATTTCAAGTGATATCAACGCTAGTTTCTTAGGGTCCTTTGTCCTACAGGGCCTAAAACAGAAAACTACACGGAAACTTTAAGAAAAATTTCTTCAAGTCTTTTCAGACGGAATTCTCAGGGCTTTTGTTCTCTTCAAAGGGAATATAATAGGTCACGCATACGTGCCTTGCAAATACGATTACATGCAGATTGCTTGTTTAATTCACTGTCAGCAGTTTATCGATTGAAAAGGATTTAACACAAAAATTAAATAAATAAAACCAGCTAATTGGACGGATTAACAAATGTCTAAATTTTTCAAGGCTAGAAATACATAGTCATCCTTAAGTAAAGACAAATAACAAGTTCGTGTGTACAACGCAAAAAAAAAATCTCTTGATAAATCATTCCTTAATCCTTTCTTTTCTCTCGCATATTTCGTTAATCCCAAATAAAAACGCAGGCGTATTTTTAAGAAGAATTCACGCTTCAAAATAACATTTTTAAGGAAGGCCTACAGTATACAATTTATGAATATCAAAGATTTTCGCTTGGTAAATATTTGTTTTTACACAACGAGCAGATCACCTTGGAGCATGGCTATCAGAAATGATATAAAAACATTCCCAAGCCACATTGAAAAAGGTTCTCTTTTGTAAAATATTTAACAAAGTAATTAAAACAATTAGTAAATGTACACGATAAACAGAAACACTTTTTAAAATATATTATTCTGCCCGTGTTCTGCATGCATTTCATTAATTATTCTTTTTCCTAAGATCTCGATCGAGATGAAAAAGTTAGTGTCACGAGCGGGATTCGAACCCACGCGACCTTCGGCTCAATACTCAGCTGCTCTAACCACTTGAGCTGTCATGATATTTTTTCTATTATAGATTGTTATTCTATATAAATAGAGTTTTACGTAGGATAAGAAAATAATATGAAGGATCTTATTAAATGAACCTACTGTTGGACATAGGAAAAGTTAAACAAAAACAAAAAGACGCTATCAATAAAGTAGGCCAAATTTTTTTTTGAACAAATTTGAATTCGTTTTAAGCACGATTTAAAATATTTAAATCTACAAATTTTTATAGCAAACAACAAGTAGACAATTTGTCAAATATTTTTGTCTCCTATGTCCGATGATTCACATAAAAAATTCATAACTCTGTGGATTTTATCCTAATTCAACGTTATTACAACAGTTCGAGCGCTTAATTTCTCTTCTTTTAGATTATCTCAACAATGGTTAGATTTAATCAAATTAAAAAAATACAACAATAAAATGACAAAAGTTCGCAATTTTTTTTTTAAATCTCCGCTTCTTATTTGTTACTAAGTCCAAGTTGGTTAATTCTTAAGACTAAACCCATTATGTGTTGTATATAAATTTCTAAATCCTTGTAAAAATAAAACTTTACTCAAAATTGGTACGTTCGTTGCAAAGTGATTTTCATTTTTGTGATCTTTCGAGAAAATAAAAACGGAGGCCAAAGGAGGAGAAAAATTTGGGGGGAAATAAAACATTATGGATTTTGACAAAAATTTGCATTCGGGGTTTTTCGAGGTCGGAAAAACGTTTGTTTCTTGGTTAAAAAAAATATTTCAGTAAATCCATAGGATATATTATAAAAAGTTACCAAAACGAAAAGACGCTAACACTTTACTGATTTTGCTTATTAGATTATGCTTACAAAGATTTGATTTTATATCATTATACGTGAGGAAAATGAGGATAGAATCTACAAAATCTACAAATGTTTTTAATTTTTTTTTTTTTGTAATTTATGGGTTTCTAAAAATCTTTAAAGTTTCCTCAAGATCGCTGGGACCGTTGCGAATTTATACAGATAAAAAGTTGTAATGTTTGTGAGAAAAAAGGTTTTGATTCGTTTAATGCACAATTTAACACATTGAAAAAAGTTTTGTTTCCAAAAATATTTAGCAAAGTAATCAAAACAATTAGTAATTAAAGCCCTTGAATACAAATTTTTATATTAAACGAAAAATAGACATTTTGAGCTAGATGAGCCAGTGGTAAAAAAATTTACTTCGGTGTCCTGGGGTCCAATTAAAAAATTCATACGTCATCTGGATTTTTGTCCAAATTTAACGCTTTTACAACCTTTGCAAAGTGGAAGATCTCTTCTTTTAGACTGTGTCAACAGTGGTTGGATTTTATGTCATTATAAATGAGAAAAATAAGAATGAAATCAACAAAAGTTTTCAAACGTTTTATTTTTAACCCGGATTCTAAATTTTTTTACAAAGATTGTGCCATTAGGTGTAGTTTAAGGGGTTCTAGAAACCTGTAAAGTTTCCTCAAGATTGTTATAGCAATTTGTTTTTTTCGAAAAAAAATGGCAATTGCACAAGGCGAACAATTTGAGAGAGAAAAAATTATCTAGCCTAAAATTTGTAGACAGGGGTTTTTTGAGGTGAAAAAATTGAATATGTAGGGCCTTTTCAGGATTGGATCGGATAAAGAAACCGTAGACTTTTCGTTTTTAAACACATGCTCTTTATTTTCTCTCTACATAAGCACTTGTAACCAATAACCTTCTTAGAAGTGACCAACAGATTTAAGTACGTCACAGTCTGACGTCACCTTGGCGCAATTTTCAAATTTATTCTCCTACAAATATAAACTTTGTTTCTTGGTACAAAAATATTTCAACCTACTTTCCTTCTTCGCTCTGTAAAATTAGAATAATGCCAATATAAACACCACAAGGAGAACTGAGAACTTTTCTGATCGGCAAAGACTTCACAAATGTTTTATTCTTTATCCGTAGTTATATTTTTTTTTAAAGTTCTAGTATGTGCCATTAAGTTTATGGGGTTCTGAAAACCTGTAAAGTTTCCCCAAGAGAGTTGTTTCAAGGTTATTGGCATTTTACGATTTTTGAAAAAATCGGAAGCATATGGCCAGCGAATAATTAGAGAAAAAAAAGCATTTTTTGATTATCACAAAAATTTGTATTCGGGGTTGTTGAACCTAGTTTGCTACTGCGCGCGGTAAAATTGAAAAACCACAAGGGTAACAGTTCAAATATGTAACCTCCATCAAGTCGAGAACCACGTGCATTGTTGCTATTTTTCCAAATATGTTAATTTAATTGTATAAATCATAAAAAATAGGTATAAATTATGTAATATGTATTAAATTAAAATATTATAATGTATTAAAAACGAATTTTATAACAAATTTATTGCGTCGAATTTTATATTATTCGTTATAAGTAAATTATATTTTCAGAGATGAAATTTTGGAATGGATATGGCACAAATGTTGCTACGTTGCGAAAATGAGAAAAAAAAAGATTCTTCTATTTTGCCCTAATTAAAAAAAACCTACACTGTATATATGTACTATAAATATATTATTAATATATCAAAATATAGTGAATTTATACAATGCTAAATATATTTTTTTTATTATATAGAGGATTCCCGTAAACCGACTATCCGCCTAATCCGAACACGTATTTCCTATTTCCGCGAAGGGGAAATTTTTCAGTTAGCAAAGTATAGTTTTTTATAATTTCTAGATAAATATGAAGTGCATTAATGGTCAGTTATTGTGGCTTTGCCCTGTTTAAAAATTACTGGCGATTTCGCTGCACTTTAACCCTTAAATTGTGAAGTCTGCCACGTGAACTTATAGGTTGGTCTTTTAAATACTATTGTGGTCTAGAAATAAGCCCTAACGTAACGAATAAAATATGGTTTACGTAAATTTAAAATAATATATTTTAATAAATATAAAATTTTAATCAATTTAAAAAAATATATATGTGTAGGTTCCATCGCAAAGGAGCATACTTTAAAGATATATTAAAATAATAATAACTGGTAGAACATTTTTTAAATGTGATCTACTCATTTAGTAACAACGAATACCGTTTCCGTTGATAAGATTTTAATTTTTTCCAAATTTGAAATCTTAAAGGGACGAAAAACACCAAAATTTAGTTAAAAACATAACATTTTTTGAAGAAATGATTGGTTGGAACAAAAACATGAAAATAAGAAAGTTAAAAGATAAAAAATGTAAAATGTGAGCTTACGTAATTTGTTTAATCCAAGGTTAAAAATTTATATATAGACGTGGGTTAATTATTCAAGGCTCGTCAGAAGTAATTTTATAATTTATTACCCTGATTATGTCAAATGTTACGGTTTCAGATGTGAAAATTTTCCCTTTTAACACTTACCGAGATTCACACCGTTGATAAAATATAAAACAGTAAAAACATATAAACTTTTGTGAAATAATAATAATAATAATACGAATTTTATGAGTTTGGATTTGATATTTTGTTTGATTATTGTCAAAATCTTAATAAAATCACACCAAATGATATGTTTAAAAGAACAGCGAGACTACGCGCACCGAAAATATGCCAACAAAAAGTTAAAAGATTAGACAAATCTACAACTATATTTCAAGTTGTATTTTAATTTTTTCACATTTCAGTGAGGTTTGACAAATTAGCCCAAAACGACTATTCGAAGCACGTTGGATATTAGCGTTTGTATGAATTCACAACTATAATCAATGCTAACAGGAGAAAAAACTAATTTTGTTTTAAATTTTTGGACACAGAAGAACAGTATTTTTGACTGCTAACCTTGAAAAATGGTTTAACCTCATG